AAATGAAGGCAGCACATGTAAGTAAAGGTGGAAGCTGTGAAGAAAGGCATATAGATAGGAAAACAATATCTTGATAAGCAACAGTACTGTGTAAAACTAAACATCATAGGAGTGAATCCAAACAACTCAAAAGTCAAAGATGTACATTTGTATCAAGAAGCAGACGCTAGCACAGTTCATTATTAACAGGGCACTACCAAATTCAAGGCCCATTTCGGTCTATTTCACAGTCACAGGATTTTTAAAATAGTCAATTTCATAGTTTTAGGTGTTTACATCTGAAATTTCAGTGTTGTAACCCTGGGGGTCCTGATCCAAAAGGGGGTTGGGAATTTCCACCCTTACTTCTGTGCTGCTGATGGCAGGGGTACTGCCTTCAGAGCTGGGCAGCCAGAGAGCAGCAGCTGCTGGCCAAGCACCAAGCTCTAAAGCCAGCGCCACCGCCAGCAGCAGCACAGAAGTGAGCGTCGGAGGGTCTGGGTGAGGGAAGGTGTTTACCATATCTGCGGGTTTTCCCAGCAGCCTCCCGCCCGGGTCAGGAGCTGACAGCTGGAGGCGCAGCCTCCCGCCAGGTTGGGAGTGTCCTGGCCAGCATCTTTGCAGCTTCCTACAGCTGAGGGAGGTTCAGAAAAGTGGGTTTGACCCAGCTCTGGGAGCAGCCTCTGCATAGGAAGAGTAAGTCCTGTCCCTCCCCAGCCTGGGCCAGGACTAATAGCTGGTACCCAGCCCAGGGTAGGAGCCCCTGGCCGGGGCACCCCCAGCCAGGACACCCCCAGCCCAGTCAGATTTCACGGGGGAGATCAGATTTCATGGTCCATGACGTTTTTCACAGCCGTTAATTTAGTAGTGCCCTAATTATTCATCTAGCACAGGATCCAGAGTGAGGCACACCACATTCCACAATGTAGCCTCATCTTTAATACAGTGACATGGCCCTCTGAAACAACATATCCCACGATGTAATGCTTTGATCTGTATTACCAAGGGAGCTGCTCAGATGAAGTATTACCTGTAGAAGCCTATCCTTTCTATAGGCTGCTCACATCAAGACAACATGACTGTGTGGGACCACAACCAATTATTAATTGGTTGTATCTTTATCCCCCTCTAATAGCTACAGCTAATGGAGTTATTCTTCTAGCTCAAACAGTACAGAATCATGGTTTGAGCATTAAAGGCCCCATAATCAAACTCTGAGAATGACTCAAATGGAGAATTCAAATGATTTAAAAATCTGAGGATGATCCATTAAAACAGTGGTACATCAATATGGGGCTTGGATAAGCATCTTCAGTCATGGGAACTAGGTAACCCAGGCCAGCAGAGTGTAAGTCTTTGTTGATAATTTAACATAAGAGGATACATGTTTACTACAGTTGACAGCTAGCTGAATCAGTATTGGATATAGTTTGAAACAATATATTGGATGCTGGGACCCCTTGTCTTAATTCTGTCATATTGAATGTGAGCGTTTATATGGTTTGAGGTGTCGCACAATGGGACCTATCATGTGTGCTGATGAACTGTATTTCTCTCCTGCCTTCAGTATAAGATAGCACACTATATACCAGAATGCATCAAGCAAGGGCCTCCTGCGTTAAAGACAGCACATCACACCATAAAACTCAGTGTCTCTGCACTGCTATGTTGATACAGAAATTATTGGGTGAGGTTTTTTGGCCTCTGTTGCATAGGTCATACTAGATTATCAGCATTTTAATTTAAAAACAAATTTAAGCATGGTCCCTTCTTGCTTTAAAATCTATGCACTGGAGAGCATGCACATGACTTAAATTAAGGTGGAGTAGAACAAATATGAAATTAAAGAATTAGAGTTAGTTTAAGTTTGGTTAAGGAAATACAAGTATTGTAAAGGAAGGCCCTGACTAGCAAGTAAAAGAAAGGCCTTCAGAATAATGAGTTACAAGCCCAGAAGGAACAAAGTAGGGAGGATGCCTGGTTCAAAGAGTAACTAATGACATAAAGGGAAGTTTCTAAAAAGAAGACCTGTGACTGCAGATAAGACAAAAATAAGACAAAGAGACTCTGTCTTAGAAGAAGCAACATGGACTTTCCCACCCCACATACCATTGTTACCTCAAAATTAGGGCATATTCAACAGAAAAACTGTTGGTTAGCAAGAAGGATGGGAAGAGATAAGAGGAAAGACCTTGGTGAAAAAGGAAATGGTCAATTTTATCTGGATTAAGACCAGAAATAAAGGCAAACTGCCCAAATTGGTTTTTAGCTTGTTATTAATTGGCAATGTCATCATTTGTTGATGGGTACAAAAAAATCATCTATTTAGAGTTCTTTGCCAGAATCTATCTGATCATGCTTGAGCACACCAGGATGAGAATTTGGCTAGGTTCGATCTATTTGTAATATATTGATCACATGCTTATGAATATTTTGTTATTGTATTGCAGTGGTGGCCAAACTTTTCCTGTCACGCTCCTCCTTATGATTAATGGAATTTGTCCATGCACAGCTTGTCCCTTACTGCACAGCTGACTGAGCAAAGAAGCTTGGGTTGAAGGCAGAGCTGGGGGCAGAACCAGGGATGGGGAAGGAGCTGAGGTTAAACATAGAGCTGGCCTGGGGGCAGAGAGGGAATGAGGGCAGAAAGGGGCTGGAGGCAGGATAGAGCTGTGGCCAAAGCTGGGCTGGGCACGGATCAGGGGTTGAAGTGGAGCTGGGGCTGGGCTAAGGGCAGAGCTGGTCTGATTGGTACGCCCTCCCCACCCTCCATGAGGGCTGGTCCAGGCCCTGCCACGTACCCCCCCCCCATCCTTCTGCCACATCCCCCCCAAAGGGGGCATGCCCCACAGTTTGGGAACAACTGCAGTATTGGATATAGTAACTGCTTAGTTTTTTAGGATTTTAAAGCTATTGTATAAAATACATTTGGCCTTTGGAATGTATGGTTAAATTAAGGTTTGGCGGTCTCCAATATTAATAGTCATAATTCTAAATATTATTGATAATTTCAACAAATGGTGAATCATGTGCTAAGCCTCATTACCTCAATACTCTCCTACTGAAGGCATAAGAGGATGCACTGTTCAAGGTAGCACCCCACACCCTACAGCAAAGATAAGGGCATAACACAATCTGGGTCAAGCTACCTTTGCATTGGTGCATATCACACCTACCTCCATGTTGAAGTAGAGAAACGGTATGTTACATGCCAGGCCCTATTGCCTCAACCTCAAAAGCATTGGGGAAAAGGGTGTATCGCATGCTGGCGCTGTTGCCTCCAGACTAAAGGGGGTGTTACGTTGTAGTGTTGAATATAAGGGGATACAATGTCCCATCCCCCCCGCATCGAGGGCCCCTCGCCCCAGCTCACTCGCCTCGCGAGCTGTCCTAACAGACGGGGGCGCAGCGCGCGGAGACGTCCTGTGGTCCCGGAGCGGTAACGGCCGCGGGGCCCGGGCGGGGGGGCTGTCCGGGCGCTAGCAGCACAGAGCGAGCCGGCCACCTCGACCCAAGTCCCCACCGCTACCCGATTCCGCGGAACGAGCAGACCGCTGCCCGTCCCACACTCACCGCGCTTCTGCCCCGCACAGCGGCTGCGCTACGGGCCCGGCTACAGCGGCGTCCGTCCCCGCCCAATTGCCGGCTGCGTCCAGAGCGAGAACCGGGAGCTGAGGGGACTGGAGTGCGCAGCTGCGGGCGCGCGGGGAGGGGAGTGACTCCCTCCGAACTCCTCGTTTGGGTTTGGCGACCGTGGGCCTCGTCCGAGCAGCCCGGCCGAGCCTGCTGCCCCCACGACCCCAAGCTGGATGCGCTCCCTCAGGGCCCTGTGCTGAGAAATCGGGGCCCGCCGAGGACTAGTACGAGCGGCGCACGTCCGCGGGAGCAGGCCCGGAGCGTTGCGGTGCACACGCCCCAGTAGGGTGACCAGATGTCCCGATTTTATAGGGACAGTCCCGATTTTGGAGGCTTTTTCTTATATAGGCTCCTATTACCCCCCACCCCCTGTCCCGATCTTTTACAGTTGCTATCTGGTCACCCTACGTACCAGGATCAGAGATTGTGACAGAACAGC